CATTTATTCTAGGTTACTGAATAGTTTACCTTTTCAGTCATTTACAAAAAATCCAAATAAAACTGGAGGAGAAATCATTTTCTGTAACTGACGATGACTTGTGTTACAAACTGGCACTGTTTCATTTTAAGCAGTTACAATCCAAAAAGGTTTGGAGCACATGGTCTATGTAATATTTGAGTTCTGGGAGTTAGATTTGATGACTGCCTTGGTGCCTGGATTAGACCTAATGCCTCAGTGTCCCCTTTTCAATCATTCTGCTAACCTGGAATGTGGAGGGTATTTGTGATTCTTATTAACCACATTGTTTGATTCCAAAATGAGCACCTGTGTGCTTGCTGGAAAGAACATGACTGAAATTATTATTTGAAATCTGAGGAATTAATGTTTGGCCAATAGTATGAGATTAAGGTCAGAATGCTCTGTATCCCCCTCATCAGCTGATTACATACAGCACTGACTGTTGCTTCTTGAAAACTAAGAGGCAAGTCAGCCATGTTAAGTAGGTCTGAGACACCAAGAGCTTATTAAGACAGAATCTGTTCTGGTCAAAGGCCAATCAACAAGCCAATTGTGTTTATCCACAAGATGCAGGCCAAGATTGCAGTCATCCTGATGTGGTCCTGATCAAATCCTCCATGGCCTTTGGTGCTGAGAAGCCAAATAAGTCTTCACAGAGTCAGATTTGACTACATTGGCTCTTGTGATTTGTAAAAGTTAAAGTGTAAAAGTTAACTGGAGCGGCGTGAAACTTGATGTCATACTTATCTGCCTGATTGAGATGTGTAATTCGAGATGTTAATTCAGTCTTGAACAAAACTTTTATGACAGTGTGGGAGCTTTGAAACTAGGGAGTCTTCCTAATGAGCTCTATTTGTGATGACATGAAGGCTGCTTAATAACCTTTCATGTAACAAACAAACAAAGCCTTTACTGTTCATATTTAAGCTTAATTAGTATCGTAAGAAATGGTAATGAGTCCTTGGCCTAACAATTAAGAGTGGAAGGAAATTTGTGAAGGTGCACACTGATAAATGGTCATTAAGGTTGCTCTTGAAAGCTACCAGTTAATTTAGAGTAAATATGATAATGATCGACTGGATGATGCTTCTCTGACACATATTCAGATCTAAGGGAGAGAGTGAACAATGATGGACACTAAAGGGACATATTTACCCATAATGCATTGTAAGCTTTCATTATTTTCTCTGTACTGTGGAATACGTGTACTCTATGGCTGAGGATGAGTTTAAGGGGTTTTTTTAGTAGCAGCAGAGTTTCAGTGCAAATACCTATAAATGAAGACAAATGAGGACTTTTTTCTAATTAAGACATTATCAGTCCTCAGAAATTAAAGCTGCACAGCCATAGACTTTGCTTAAAATACAACAGACATATCTGTTAGCACACAAAAGTAAGTGTAGAATATTTAGTCTATAATATTTAGTGACTTGTGTGTGAAACAAAACCATCTGAAAAACGGTCTTTCTAGCTATTTATTTGATTTAATCATTGTTAATGTGATCAAAGAAAGGTACATTTCAGTTTCAGTCCTCCGTGACCTAGACCCTGCTCCTTCACTCTGTAATTGGTCGCTCATATAATGTACAGTGCTACTGTACATACTGTAATACCAGTGGAAAGAAGTCAAGGCAATGTGAAATGACTCACTCTTTGTACATGAAGCGAAGGGCCCTTTTTCATTCCGATTAACAGCTGCTGTCTCCTTCTCTCTATAGCCATTTCTGTTAACAATGAATCAGGACTGCAAAAAGTTTCTGTGACAGTATGCTTAAGATTTATGTTTTAAAGTGAAAGCTCTGCCTGATGGTTCTGTGTAGGACATTGACGGTGGAAACTAATGGGTAAGGGGGAGGAAATAGTTCACTTCACTCCATACAGTCAATAAACCGTAGCACACAGTTCCCTTCTAACACAGAGGTCATTTTTTATATACTTAATGCCTTGAGCCCACATTAAATGCCAAGTTTTACTGAAATTGTTTTCTGAAACTCCTTCTTCTGCCACTGGATTAACCGGACATATTTGACTTTCAACCTCCTCCTGCTCACAGCAACACCTGTCCTTCTCCTCTCCTTTTTCTTATCTTCAGACAGCAGCAGAGGCACATCCAGCAATCAATAGCCAGTAATCAGCTACTACAAACTTACATTCTGCATTCCAGGAAGACACATCACTTGAGCAGAGCACTGAACATTCACTTATATTTAGGTTGCAGCACCTAGTGATACATGTGTAGCGGTAACCATACAATTCAGTCAGTGGTTGATCAGCTATGAGACAGTCTCAGACAGCACATCATGATGAACTGTTCCTGTGGAGGAAAGATGGGGGCCCTTTAAAACACATGGCTTTAAGTTCAGATATGATTGAATTCCTTGACAGCCACAATCTGTTTAACAATAAAGACCACATTTTTTGTTCATTTCCCCTAGGTTGTAGTTAGGCTTTGGCCTCCTGGACGTTCATATATGCAGCAAGGTGATGAGTCATCTCTTTACATAAGGCAGAGACATTTGGCACCCAGACTAAAGAACTCTAATGAATCTTTTCTCGGCTCCCCTTTTCTTTATCTTTATTTTGCCGTTCTTCCCTTTTGCTGGGCTCAGCTCAAACCTTGTCCGTGTGTCCTTAAAAAGTCATTCAGCTGGATAAAGTCATTTACCTGGAAGAAGAGGAGTGAGAGAGGGGAACAGACATGGAGGAAGGGAGGCTGTGGATGTAGGGCACAGAGGAAATCCTGTATTTTTAAGGACAATGTAGCAAAATGAAAAAGGAATAAAGAAATTGAACAATAACAAGTTAAGTATTTAAAAGAGAAATTTTGTCTTTTTGACTACCAACAGAGAATCGTCTTCTTTGCACCTCTTTTTTTATGCCCCAGAATCTGAAAAAACAGAAAAAGTCCAAACAAGTAGCACACAGAGGAGATGCAGTCGAAGATGCCAGATTTTTAATATAGCAAAGAAACATTGTTGAATAAAGTATTTTAGTTATGTAGAGTCCAATTCTTTGGACATATGGTGCAGAGGTGGTGAATTATTTGCCATGAAATTGTGAGTGATAAAGAAAGAGAGAATTTTCTTAAAGTATGGTTTCCCTGAAGCTTGTGTGTTTGCTGTGTCTTTCCAGATACTTCGAGGCTTGTATTTCAAGGCACAGAACCTTGAGGCCCGACACTTACTGTATGCTGATCCTAGGCATCAGAGTACGTACAATAAGGTAACATCCTCTCGTTTATTTTGTTTTTGATTTGTATTTGTCCAACACTTGATTTATGATCAAATACCTGCAAAACTGGTGACATTTACTGTACATCAGCCTCTGCTTTACTTATTTGTTTAATTGGCAAATGTCAGCGTGCTAACAGGCTAAACACAGATAGTGAACATGGTACACATACTGTACCTGGTGAACAAAATCACATTAGCCTTGTCAGTGTAAGCATATTAACATGCTCATGTTAGCATTTAGCTCAAAGCACTGCTGTATGTATCTAAGCACAGTCTCTGTCATTGATGAACATATAGTACATTAAGTGTATGTTGTCAAAATGAGTCAAGCCAGCATAGTTTTATACTTGAACACATGATTGTGTGTGAGGGTGTGTGTGCGTATTTTCAGCTTATATAGTCTATGAAGGAAAAAAAAGCAAAAAATCAACAAACAAAACAATTTTTAAATAAATAAATGAGATTGAAAAATGAGCGATGGGAAGAAATGGGGCAGGGGTGGGGGTGGCAGGGATGATTTAAACCAGCAAATAAGTAGTAACAATGAGGAGTGTGCTGCTGATGTTTCTGCTTTGAATCAAAGGCACAACATCAAGCTGAGGCCGCCACTGGGGAGCCATAGAACTGCTCAGCGGGGAGAGGTTGTCCAGGACAGCAGGAGCTTTATTTTATGGTTAAGCTCAGCCTTTCCTCTGTTATATTGTTTATCATGATTTGTTACTACTGTAGGACTGAAATGACGCAGCTCGGGGTCGGTCCCTGACTTTGAATGGAGAGACCCGACCCACCGCCTGATGTATTCCCCTCATAAACAGCTCCCGGGCCCTAAGCTTGCACATGACATTTTGATGCCATATAGACACCAACAACACCAGCAAAAATTTCCATTGCAAATTTAAATTAACACACTCTCACACATGCACACTCATTTGTTTTCATTCCTTATAGGGATGTTATATTGACTTATATTAATTTCCCTGAGACTTACCCTAACCTCACCCATAACCATTATTTGCACAGCCTTAACTTAGCCTCACCTTACCCAACCTCATCCTAACCTTGAACCAAGTCGTCACCCTAAAATTCTGTGATTTACATGTGGAGGACCAGCATCTGGTCCCCATGAGGAAGGCAATTCTCCACAGTATGAGTGTGTAAACAGGGTTTGATCCCCAGTGTGTGAGTAATACCATGCACATGTACACGCATGCACACACACACACACACACACACACACACACACACACACACACACACAGCGCTTTCTAGATTTTTACATTTGACCTTGGTTCCTAAATCCCTGTCATCCTAATGTAGACCCTTACTTAAGAGGGTTGATGACCTTCGGGCCACAGGGAGATGCTGACTTCAGAGGTCAATCATTATTCTCCGTGGCTTATTAGTCACAGAGTGCTGATGAGGTTAACACTGCCTTCCTCTAAAATCTCTCCATGCAGGTTTCAGGTCTTCAGTCTTTCAAAAGCAGCAGATGAGATAGTCTACACCTTTTCTGGTGATGCCATCTTACTGTAGTTTAGAGTATGAGTAGCACTTTTTTTAAATTTTCACACACAGCAGGTGCAGTGACTGCAAATTTCCCAAAAGTTATTTAGTTGAGCAGTAAAACACTTCCTGTGTTTCATGTTTGGCACAGTACTGCATGATGTCAACACTTCCTGACAGTGATAATAAAATGCACCGACATAAAAGAATACTGCTAGCTCACCGTATTTTAGTTTACCCTTTATTTATGTGTTAGTTGGTTTTCTGTGCTTACAACAATCACATGCATCGTTAGATTTTTTTCTGTCCTCTTTTGCCCCTTTGCTGATAAACTAACCTGATGTCAAATGATACATGTTATTTTTAGAGACTGTTCATAAATATAAATTGGAAACGTATCCCATGTGGTTTATAATGAAATATGACTCCAGCATCACCTGCTTGCACAAACATGGCACTCCAATGAACATGTCAGCTTCCTTGCTAACTTGCACTATCTTGCCTTTCTTTCACTTTCCTCTCATTCTTTTGCAGTGGTCACCCTTCAGTAGAGTATATGCAGAAATAGTTGTTCCTGAATGTAGACTTTTAAAAAGTTTGAAAAGGCCAACGTTTTTAGTTATAGGATTAATTTGTTGTTTCATTTCAGCATTTCAGGCTGTATATTTCTCTCTTGATTACTAAGATAAATAATGCTATGTCTGACAAGCAGATGCAGATTACCTAACCTAAGATGATGCTGAAAAGTATCCCTCTCTTGAGGAAATACTTACTGTAGGCTATGTACAATATTGTTTAGAAGCTTAAGTATGCTGTTGTGCAAAATGAACATTTAATTGTGTATTTTAGTCATTTAACTGTCTTTGGCTCTGTGTATATCTCTGGGTAAGAGGGGCTCCACTAACTTTATAGGCCAGATGTTGACTATGATGAAACTGGTTTTAATAGTGACAGGACGCTGCCAGGGAATCTTCCCAGTCTCCTTGATAAAATACTTTGCCGCACCTGTCTTCTCACTGTGCAGCTATGGGCTGATGTTTCAGTAGTTTAAACAGCTACGTTGGCCAGCCTCGGGTCTGAGTCCTGCTCGTAGCGGTAATGGTAGACCTCCATCTGGTCTCTGCACGCCTCTCTGATGTTGTTGAGCCACCGTTTGATGCCTCTCCGGTTAAGATACAGCACCATTAAAAACACCACCCCGATCAGAGCCAACACTATACCGAGGAGCACATATGAAACCGCCTCAAGGTTCTCCTTCGTACAATCCTCTACTTGGAGGTTCTCCACGGGATCTCCCCTCTTGGCCTCCGGCTCACTGCACAGGAGACGCCCCGCATCCGGGCACTGGGATGAGTTTTTCAACCAGTAGTAAAATGTACCCAGTTCACAGTTGCACCGAAACGGGTTTAAAGACAAGTAAAGGCGTAATCGCCTTTGCTTGTATAAATTGGTTACGTTTCCCATACCGATTGTCTCTATTGAGTTATTTGTCAGTACTAACGTGTGGAGATTATAGATATCTAATCTCGTCAGGGGTATAGATTTCAGTCTGTTTCCTGCCAACTCTAGTCTGTGGAGGTTGCGCAAACTTTGTGTGCTGAGCGCATTTGCGAGCTGCGCTGTAGCCTGAGGAAAAATGGAGCAATTTAGGTAAAGAGAGCGCAGCTCTGGTAATCCGTGGAAAGCCCGGTCTGAGATAGACTCCAGTTGATTGTGACTCAAATCCAACTGATGCAATCGGGGGAGCCCCAGGAAGGCGTAAGCTTCAATAGTCTGTATCCCGTTATAGGACAGCGAGAGTATCATCATTTCCAACTCCGTGCCGTTGGTCATGAACGCACCGCGCTGTAAAGTTGAGATGTTTCTCCCGCTGAGTATCATGGTGGACGTCCACTCCGGTATGTTTCCCGGTACTCCAGTGTCGTCCCCATCACGACAGGACACCTTGCCAGACTCTCTGGCACAGATGCAGGAAGACGGGCAAGCATCATCCGTCCTGACAGGAAAGAACAACAAACACACCACTGCTGCGTAATACAAACACCGCCGATTCCGTTTAGAAAATAGATACTTTGAATTGTTGGCACTGTTAAATATCCACATCTTCTCCCTAATTTTACTCTCAAAGCAGTTATGTGCCGATGTGTCTTGCAAGGAAGGCGGCCGATTACAGTCCTCTCAGGCATGTAAAGTCGAATCTGTCTGAGATCGATTACTTTCAACCATCACAGTAGAAAAAAACGGTCTATCCACTGTCATCTGGTTGCTTCGTGTCTCTGTCTGGAGAAAAGAGGAGTTTTCTTTGGAGTATTTACGCATCGCAACGGTGAACAACAGCCGAGTGTGCGTGGAAAGCTGCGTTCCCTTTGTGGTATGTTTGACGCCTGTCACCGAGAGAGAGAGAGAAAGAGAGAGAGGAGAGGGAGAGAGAGAGAGACCGGGGGGTGGAGTTGGGCGGGCAGAGAGGGGTATGGGGGGTAGACAGAGACACCCTGCAATGCAAATACTTTCAAGTACTCTACTCGCATTAGAATATCCGGGCGTCATTCTGCTACTGGAAGAATCTCAATATCGGATATTAATGAGGAGAAGTAACGACGCCTTTCTCGATACTCAGAACTGTTCTCTGTTGTCTTAAATGTAATTGTAAAACCCATTTTGCTGTTTTCTGACAAACTTTGCCATTTACTGTATCATGACTAGATTGTTTCAGGATCATTTATCTCCAAGTGAGTTGGTTGTCTCCTTTGCACATCATGTTCCCATTATTGCGCCCTTGGTTTATGGTGTCAGCTGCTGTAAATACGTCAAGGGAGTGGAGTAAAAGTACAAATGGTACCACCACAGTGTAAAAATACTCTGTATTAGTAATAGTCCTGCATTCAAAATGTTACTTATCCTTAGTTGTATTTTTTTAAGGATTAGCATCAAAAGATACTTTAAGTAATATAATCATATTATTGGATTGTAATGTCCAGTGCATTATTGTGAACATCACATTTAATGTGGCAGCTGTAGAGCAATTTTAACTATCTTATATGCTTATAATTTGAAGTACTGCTGGGTCTTATGATTATACTGTCATTTGTTTGATTGATTGATTTGATTTTTCCCGGTAAAGTAAGTTGATAAAGTAACTAAAATTATAAAATAAATCTAGTGGAGTAAAAAGTACAATATTTGCATCAAAAATGTAGTGAAATTGAAGTATGAAGTAGCAGAAATTGGAAATACTCAAAGTATGCATACCTCAACTGTAGTTAAGGACAGTACTTGAGTAAATATACTTACTTACCATTTGTCATTGTAGATGCAATAAATAAGCTAGAGGCATAAAGAATGTATCAGTTTAATAAATTTATATTAGTGGTCAGCATGAAGGATTCAGAACCATGGACAGCTCCACAAAGCGCTACTGTTTTTTTACAGGAAGGAAACTTGATTTGTTCTGTATCCAACAGAAAGCAAGGACAGTAGTAGTGTACAAATGGAGAAATGAACACAGGAGAGGAAGAAAACAGGAAGACTATTTAGTTTTTAAGGGGTAATAAACACAACATAAGTCAAGGAAAAAACAAGATTTAAAGGAACGGGGATGGGAAAAGGGTTCTGCACCATGGATAGCTCCAAATGGCATCACACTTGTTGTTATTTGTGAGAGCAGAGAGAAGAAGAAAAATGATAAAAGGAAAGGGGAAATATTTGTGGGAACATAGAAAGTTTGTTTAAAATTCAGTACCACGGATAATACAAAAAAGTGAACACAAAAGGCTGAAAGAAAAAATGCTAAATACCGCTGTATACAGTATATATTATTCACTGTCACTTGTAATCATGCATTGTCAAATCTTTAATAATTAATGTATACAAAAATAACTGTCACACACTGACCTGACCACAATGATCTATCAAACCCAGCAGTAATGCGGTCGATGTACCGATCCGTCGTGGTGAAGAAGGAGCTGAGCTGTAAGGCGAAGCTCTCGATTTACTGGTCAATCTACGTTCCAACTCTGACCTATGGTCATGAACGAAAGGGCAAGATCCTGGATACAGGCGGCCGAAATGAGCTTTCTCCGCAGGGTGGCCTGGCGCACCCTTAGAGATAGGGTGAGGAGCTCAGTCACCCAGGAGGAGCTCAGAGTAGAACCGCTCCTCCTCCACATCGAGAGGAGCCAGCTGAGGTGGCTCGGGCATCTGTTTTGGATACCTCCTGGACGCCTTCCTAGGGAGGTGTTCCGGGCATGTCCCACCGGGAGGAGGCCCCGGGGAAGACCCAGGACACGCTGGAGGGACTATGTCTCTTAGCTGGCCTGGGAATGCCTTGGCATCCCCCTGGAGGAGCTGGAGGAAGTGTCTGGAGAGAGGGAAGTCTGGGTGTCTTTGCTTAGACTGCTGCCCCTGCGACCCGGTTCTGGATAAGCGGAGGAAATTGGATGGATGAATGGATGGTTAGATATATTTTAGTGAACAGCAGCAAACTAACTGTAAGCTGGTTGCAATAAGTAAAGCTGGCATGTGGGTGTGTGTTTACTGATTGCATGTGAGCACACACCTAGACAAAAGGACCATAATTTGTATGTGTGTGTGTGTGTGTGTTCTGTCCTGATAAAGCAAAGGGTGTGTTGTAGTGCCTTGTAGTTTCACTTTTCTACAGGCCTTTGAGGAAGTTATCCAGAACTGTACAGGAAAGGAAACTGTATAATGTATAGTAGTCATACATTTTTGAGTAAGAAATATAAAAAAATAATCTTATGGTTGAATGAATACTTTGGTTTGTGTTTATTGATTTTTTTTTTCATTGATTAGGACCTGCGATATGTTATATGCAGCCTATATTCCAGTGTCACTGGGCCAGATGTACGTACATTCACAGGTATAGTACATACAGTAGCTCAATGTATGTGGATGCCCCAAGCATTACAACAATGTATAAAAACAGCATTAATCTGCTGCTCAGACAACCTCCACCTGCAAGAGTTGTACAAGATTTTAGAGCTGGTTTGCAGAGAGTATTACCCATTAAGCCACAGCACTAGTGAGCTTTGGAGCTGGTGTTGGGCAGTAACCTTGCTAGGTCTCACTCAGTTCCAAAGGTGTTGGATAGGGCTGAGGTTAGGGATCTAGTATGTGTGCCAATGAAGCACTTCTGCACCAAACTGGGAAAACTATTTCTTTATGGGCCTGGGTTTGTACATTTTCATGTGGAAATATGAAAGGACCTTTGCCTAACTGTTGTCATAATGTTGTTGTCTAATATAATAATGTATGCTGTAACTCAGAAAGTTCACATAACTGGAACTATAGAGGCCCAAATCATGAAAAATAGCCCCACACCAAAAGCACACAAAACTGCATGGACAAGAATGTCCACATACTTTTGGCACTATACTATAGTATAAGTGTATTTGCCAAATGACAAACTATTCCTTTAACTGTCAATAGGAACCACAATAGATTTAGGCCTAGTGTGTTTGCTTATTATCTAACAGGAGTTATAGCACAGGGGAGCTGATTACAGTTTGCTGTCATGCTCAAGCGTGCCTAATCTAGAATGGATAGATAGAAATGGCCATTGTGGGGATGTAAATGATCTATATTTACAGAGGGAGAGGGAGAGAACAAGACACTGAGACAGAAAGTCAACAAGGCAGAAAGAGCTAGAGAATGGTTTAAAATGGCCTTACTGCTGGTGCTGCTGATAAGCACAAAGGGCATATTAACGTCAGGTTGTTTTGCCTATTAAGGCATATGGGATGACATTTCTTCCTCCAAACAAACAAGAACATCAGCTCAGTCATTGCTTTTCCTCTTAAGACCCTTTGCTTGCAGCATGGGTGTTAGTGTTATCTGCCGGTGCAGAGAGTTGATTTAGTGATGGCTGCTATTCACAGGCTGTTGCTGGGATATTGTTATGGTGCCCTCCTCATGGCCTTCAACTTGACACTGAACCTCGTAATTGATTTACTCAAGACTGCCCATCCCTATCTCCTGACTACAGTGTGTGTGGAAACTTGTGGGTGAATGACCATTAACCATTAATCTTGGCAGTAGAGTTTTCTTTCTGACCTCAGGTGTGTTGTTATTTCTGACAGCTCTGGTGCACATGCTACATTAGCAGTGGCTCACTGTTTTTGTGTGTATGTGCTGTGCAGTATATAAACATGACTACATTTTGTGTGCGCTGTGTGTAGAATTATACAGTATGTCCAATGGAAACTACTCCCGCATCAGACTATACACATTTTGGTTTTTCCTTTCTTTGCTGTGTCACTCATCATTCATTAATCTTGTTTCAACAGCCAACCTGGTCTTCACTTCTTTCTCATTCCAGCTGACCCATACTGTAACTTTCATAAGGTGGATTTACTCATAATTTATCATAATCCAGTATGGCCCAAGTAAGGACACATATGCATTATAAACACTGCAGAAACTCACACAACATAAATCAATACAATGTCTCAGTACATCAGAGACATTACCTGAACCTTCATCATCTCTCTGACCCAGTATCACACCAACAGAATATTGTGTGCAGATGCACCATAAGAAACTACTGCAGTTTAGAAAATCACTGGCTGGTCTCTTTAACTTCTATGTCAAACTCCTTTTTCCTTCGCAGTACTCATCTTGAATGGATTCTGCCCTTCTTACCTTTGACAGATTATACTAATTAAATTTTTGCATGAAAGGAACTTAAATCTGAAGAATAAATTTAAATGAAAGTGACAAATGCTTTCATTTTCTGTAGAGACTTGGGGACTCAGAGCTATGAAAGTGACCCAAGCAGTTTTGTACGTTGCTGTATAGACTCATTACTTGCTAGAAGCACACATACTCTTCTTCTATTGCTGTCCCCTAAAATGGGCACTAGAGAACATACTGTGGTACACCAGAGTCCTCATGAGTAACAGTAATTACAGTTTTTAATCTTTCTTCTTCTGCTGTGTGTATGATTGAGTGCCCATCACTTAAAAAAAGCAACTGGAGTGAAAATTTGAAGGACTTTGTAGCAACTGTAAATAATGTGGCTCCACCCACACATGTTGGTTGTCATTGCTCATGGAGACTTGACACTCACATTCATTTCCTGGGGACTTAACATAATCTTAACCTAGCCCTAACATTACATTAATATGTAATAGATAGCTATAGCAAGCATTGTTTTACCCATCGCAAGTGTTAACAGATGTAAGAAAGATGTTAGATGAGGGCATGCCAAAATTCATCTAGTTTCCACTACAAACCAACATAAGCCTATTTGAAGAGGAGTTTGTGTTCTGCTCATGGGCAGGTAGAGATCAGGGTTCATCTGTCTCCCCTCCAGATAAACTGCAAAAAACCAGTGATACATCACCCACCTCAGTCATTCTATCT